GTTGGGCAGCGAAAAGGAATCTTTGGGGCATGCTTTGTTCAATTCCTTATAATCCACACACATTCTAAGTTTGTTCCCTTTTTTAGGCACTACAACTATGTTGGCTAACCATTCGATATATTTCACCTCCCGAATGGACCCTATCTTGAGAAGTTTGGTTACCTTATCATTTACGAATGCGTGCTTTACCTCGGGCTGGGGTCTTCTCTTTTGCTTCACCGGTTTGAACCTAGGGTCCAAGCTTAGCCTATGCTTCGTTATGTCCGGTGAGATCCCTGTTATATCTCAATGGGACCAAGCAAAACAATCAATGTTATCGATAAGCAATTGAATAAGTTTCTCCCCAAGTTCGGGGATCAACCCCGTTCCCAGGGTTGCAGGTACGATCTGGTCCTACAGGCCGAGTTGTTCTACGACCTTCAATTCGATGATGTTGGCCGAGCTACCTGGATCAATCAACACACACTTAATTTTAATTTTATTCATGAGTACGGATATTACCAGTGCATCATTATGAGGTTGTATGACTCCTTCTGCATCTTCATCATTGAAGGACAAAGATCCTATGGGTGTGTAATCTTGAGTTCGAGAACATTTTTCTCTCACAATCGATGACTTAGTGCGTTTAAGCACCGGTCCATGCGGGATATCGGCGTCGTCAAAGATCATGTGAATGACGTGCTATGGTTCTTCTTGTTCGTTTTGCTTGCCGAAATCCCTGTGTTTAAAATAGTTCTTCGCCCTATAGCTTAAAATTTCTCGAAGGTGCCCTTTATTGAATAACCGGGCTACTTCCTCTCTTAGTTGCCTGCAATCTTCCGTTCTGTGGAGGGTGCCATGATATTCGCACATTTGATTGGGATTCCTCTGGACAGGATCGGTCTGCATGGGTCGAGGCAATTTAGTGTCCTTGATGCATCCGATGGCCGAAGCGATGGCGGATGCATCAATGCTGAAGTTATATTCTGATAGCTGAGGCGCTTCCTTAGATACGGCAGGCCTATCGAACTTACTTCTGTTCATCAGCCCCCGGGACCCTTGACCTCGATCACTTCTTTTGTTATTTTGTCTGAGGTTATGTCTCGATTCGCTGATTCTGTGGTTTCCATTGTACGGTCGGTATCGATCTCCAATCGGACCTTGTTCTCGATTAATATCCCTTCGAACATCGGATTCAGCCCCCAATTGGTCATCTTCGACTCTAAATTTTGATTGGTACCGATTGTGCACGTCATCCCACGTAATGGCCGGGTATTCGATCACGTTATGCTTTAACTGTCGTGAAGCCGTTGAACTTCGTTCGTTCAGACCTTGAGTGAAAGCCTGAACAACCCAATCGTCCGTGACTGGTGGCAGGTCCATTTGAAAACGAGACACGAACTCCCTCAACATCTCGTTATCCTTTTGTCTTACCTTGAAGAGGTCCAATTTCCTTATTGCGACTTTTATGGCACCGACATGTGCTTTCACAAAAGAATCTTCTAACATGGCGAACGAGTCAATGAAAGTTGTGATACCAAATCATTGCTCCATTCGAGAGGGTTTCTCTGAATTTTTTTAACAACACAGATTCGATTTCATCGTCTTCCAAATCATTCCCCTTGATGGCACATGTGTAAGAAGTGACGTGCTCGTTGGGATCGAACATTTCGTTATATTTGGGAATTTCAGACATACAGAATTTTATGGGGATTGGTTTCAGGGCTGCGCTCGAGGGAAAAGGTTTTTGCACAATTTTTTTTTGAATCCAACCCTTTTATCATTGGTGGAGCTCCCGCGATCTGATCGACCCTAGAGTTATAAGTTTCTACATTTTGATCGTTGTCTTCGACTCGCTTTGTGAGTTCCTCGAGCAATTTAGCAATTTCGAGAGTAGTCCCCGATTCTTGCTCATTTGACTTCACTATGGCTGGATCCGTTCTGTAGGTGATTTCTCGAGGTGGATTGGGATCCGGCCCGTTTTGTAGCTGACTTTGGCTTTGCAACTGAGCTATTGCTGCCTGTTGAGTTTGCAATATTTCAAAAATCATACGCAAACTAACGCCGTTTCCCTCGACGTTATGGGTATCTCGAGCTGCGAACCGAATGCCACCATGAATGCTATTTTTGGGTTCAAAATGTAGGTTTGCCTCAATGGCTACATGCGAATTGATATCTATCGGCGCTCTAATTCGAGCTCCAACACCGTTTACAAGTGGTCTTTCAGTACTAGGTGTCAAGTTATTATTTTCATTTTGAAAACCGGCTCTGTTGTCGATTGGTGAAGCCATTTGATTGGTATTTAGTCGTTGCTAATCCGAAATCCAAGATATTTTTGGAAACAAGCGCAAAACACAATGGCGTATTTTTTCAGATTCGTATCAAATAACCACTGTTATTCTTAGTCCCACAATGGGTGCCAAATTGTTTACCCGAAAAACGGATAGAGTTGAATTTGTACGTAGTTCTAAGGATATGGTGTAATTTTAATATAAATCGTAAGGATAAATAGAAATGTCAAGTATAGATTGCAAAGAATTCGAAATAGATACGGTTGTGAATAAGATGAATTTTAGAACTAAACAAGTGAAATCAATTTAAGAACAAACGAGATTGTTATAGAAATATTTGACCGTAATATTTATGTCAAATATTGATATTGGTGTTTTACTTGTCGATAACTAAGGTAAGAAGAGGACAGAGTTCTCTCGGGTTGATAACTTTGGTAAGAAAACGACATAGTTTCGACATCTTATCGTACACATGTCTGTTCAACTCTCATTGACTAATCCAATTGTTTCACGTTTGAACCAATCACCTTTTGTCTTAGCCATTATGTTGTTCGGTTCTAACCCATAAGATAATGTTTCATATTTCCATTATTCATAATATTCCTAAAGAGCCCTCAACTTTTCACATAATTCCTATGCGAAAATACTAATTTTCGGCATCTATATTAATATGCGGATTTGGAATTTAAAGGTGCCGGGAGCATTACTTTCAAATAAATATTTGAGCAAATATTAGAGTCGGAATCGAACCCAAACATCACAATAAAAGTCTAGTTATACCTCCAAATCGACCAATACAATTATCTAAAACTTGAATCTTAGGATGCCAATCAAAATATAAACTTATTATTTAAAATAAATATATATATATATATATATATNAGTCGGATTATTCAATTTTCTTAACGGATAATCCGTTAAGAATATATATATATATTAAAGATCAAAAATCCTTCCACTTCTTCCAGTACTCTATCTCTAAGTTCTAACGCCTAATTCCTAAATAATCAGAATCCTTACGTACTATGCATCAGAAGATCCTAGACTTGGCTTAGCTTAGCTTATTCTCCCACCCTACAACAAGATTGTTTAAGTTGATGTCTATGGTTCACCTCTGCTTTTGTTTTTTTAAAACTAATGCATGTTGTCTATGTTTAATAGAAGAACAACAGTATTGTGCCACATTTTTTTTCACTCTACAACACATGACACTACATCATTCTTATGTAGGCGTTAAAAGACATGTATGTCTGGACTCAATGTATAATTTCCTATTCTGAATTTGTATGTTAGGTGGTCAGCAAACAATTAATACACGCAATATAAATTGAATTAGGCCGATAAACCGCCCAATAACCGCCCGATAAGAGCTAAACCGATACCAATCTGCCCGATATCTTATTGGGTGGCTAGCGGATTAATACATTTAAAAATCGATAACCGTTAAGCCAAACCGTTAAGAGTAATTAAACGCCCAATCCGTCTGATAAGCAGCCCTAATTGGAACCTAACTAAGCACTCGTACCAAAGGCGATACTTTTCATAGGGCTCGAGCCAAAACTTCTACTAAAAATGGAAAAAAATATATTTGTATACCTCCCTTATCTGTACTGAACCAAATAATTTAACATTAACATTTTATAATAATAGTAATAATAATAATAATAATTAAGTGATAAATATATATATATATATATATATATAGAAAATCGATTATCTTATATTCATTAATTTAAAAATATATATCGATTGCTCATAAACCCTTAATAGTCCATATTATTTTCTACATAAAATTAGTTCCACCTACGATCGTTAGGTCCTGAATTCGAGTCACGCTAGAAGAAAATTGTAAAAACATTATAGATCCTCCTAATTAGACAAATATTTTAAAAATAACAAAAAACAAACATCAGTTCCAAAGTTCCAAAACTCTTGCGTGTGGTGTGCTGTATGCTTTTATTTGTGGTGTGCAAATGGAAAAGTACAGGATGCCTCTAAAAGTTTATTTTAATTATTGCCTCGTTTTCCATTATACTTTACAAGATTTAGTAAAAAATTTATTTTCCAATCTGGTCCATGATTTTGTTGTTAAAGTATTTGGAAAGATTTTAACATTTTCAACAATCTACCAAACTCTAAAAAATGAAAATGAGAGTGCAGAAATAGTTTACAACATCAATCTATATCCAATTATAGCATTTTTGACATGATACGCAATAGATACAAAGAAAACAGAGTTAATATTATAAAAGTTCATAATAACGGGGAATTTGCAGTCAACTTAATTGCTAAACTCTTGGAAAGTGAACTAATTACTATGCTTTGTTTTATATTTTGTTTAAACAATTATACTTTAATTAGATGAATAAATTTTAAATATCTCCAAACCTAAAATATATAATCCCAATCCAGACCAAAGAATTATAATATAGTAATATCAATAGAAGTTTCGCACACGATAAATATGTAAATATTTATAATAAAATAATATATAACTCACAAATTTATTCGATAAAAATCACTTTTCTTCAAAACATAGTTCTACTTAAATTAAGCTAGAAAATAGTAGTACCCTACTGTTTAATATTTTCTTTTGGTCATGACTGCTTAAAATTAAGGAAAAAATGGTGCCTTTTTTAGCTAGGAAAAATAGTAGTCCACTACTTAAAACATTGGTAAAAATAACAAACTAGCAAATAAATAAAAAAACTAAAACAAAGATTCAAAATGACCTTGTTTTCTTCTTCCCACTTAATTCCCACTTTCTCTTGCCCATACAAATTTTATTCTCTCTCTCTCTCTCTCTCCTCCGTTTTCAACTGAAATTTTTTCGCTCTTTATACACACCCAGATACCATTCTGATAAATTATTTTACTATATCTTACGAACACCTCCTGAATAATTTGATCTGAGTCAACATTGCTAGGGTTTATTCAACTTCTTCATAAATAACTTCAATTCGTCGAATTCACACACAAAAAAGAAAATTTTATTTTGTGGCTAATTTGATTCATTTCTACGAGAATCAATTAGCCCTTTATATAATTCATATATAAATCAGAATATATCTTCACAGTTATTTACACGAAGGAGAAAAAAATTGATAAATTTAAAAGTTTTTATAATTTTTAGGGATTTTGATATAAAGAGATATGATGGGGAGTGGATTACAGTTTAATCGGAGTTTTAACGGCGAAGATCGGTTTTATAGTGCGGGGAAGTTTCGTCGGAATGTTAATCGGAGTTTTTCTACCGGTAGTGAGGATAATCTCCGGCGAGCTAAGAGTGATGTCCCCGTTATTCATTCCCCGACGAAGCCGAAAATGAAAGTTGCCGCCGATGAGTCGCCGGAGGATCAGGTCTCCGCCGTGCCGCCGACGGATGTTCTGCCCCCGCCGCTTTGTAATCTTCAGCGGTTTTTGAAATCTGTTTCTCCTTCAGTACCTGCTCAATATCTATCTAAGGTTTTAATAAATTATGCCTTTTTATCTTATCAACTGTTTAATTAATCTTTTTTAAAACTCTTTTATGGGGTTTTGATTGAAGGTTTAACTATTGTTTGTCGGTTTTTGATATGTGTTTTGGTTGAAAATTTTTGTGTTTGTATGGGTTATTCAAGTGTTTAAACGATTGGATTAGTATAAAATTGTACTCCCGCACTCCTCTTTAGTTTGTCCGAAACAAAATAATTCCTTTTTAAGTTTAGAAATAATTTAACTCTAAACTTTCCAGTTTACAAAAATGTATAGCTTGTTTTAGATCACAAGTTTCAGTTTCAAAAGTATTCTTTTCTTTCTTAAACTGTGTGCAAAGTCAAGGTGCATCAAATTAGGATTGAGGGAATAATACTTTAGTTGGTATTTTCACGGAGAATATAACTGTTGTTTGTTTTTAAGATTATAGGTTTGACCGAATATGGTTGCATTAGTTTAATGTTGTAATCTTTTTACTGGGTATGATTGAACTTAACTGTTGTTTATTGGGTTTGATTGAAAGTATTGTTGTTTATTGGGTTTAAATGAAAGTTTAAGTGTGGTTTGTTGGTAAGATTATAGGTTTTGATTGTAAAGGTTGTATTAGTTTAAAGTTATAATCTTTTACTGGGTATGGTTGAAAATTTAACTGTTGTCTATTGGGTATGGTTGAAAACTTAACTTCTATTTGTTGCTAAGATTATAGGTTTGATTGAAAATGGTTGTATTAGTTTAAATTTTAAATCATTTACTGGGTATGGTTGACAATTTAACTTCTGTTTGTTGCTAAGATTTTAGGTTTGATTGAAAATGGTTGTTTTAGTTTAAATATATAATCTTTAACTGCTGTTATTGGGTTTGAATGAAAGTTTAACTGTTGTTCGTTGTTAAGATTATAGATTTTGATTGAAAAATGGTTGTATTGATATAAATTTCTAATTTTTTACCGGGTATGACTAACAATTTAACTGTTTTTTATTGGTATGGTTGAAAATTGAGTTGTTTGTTGTTAATATTATAGGTTTTGATTGAAAAATGGTTGTATAGATATACATTTTTATCTTTTACTGGATATGATTGATAATTAGCTGTTGTTAGTAGGGTATGGTTGAAAGTTTTATTATTTTTGTTGTTAAGAATATAGGTTTTGAGCGACAAATGGTTGTGTTTGTAACAGACAACTATGAGGGATTGGAGGACGTGTGATGTGGAGTTTCAGCCATACTTTGTGCTTGGTGACTTATGGGAGTCTTTTAGAGAATGGAGTGCATATGGAGCTGGAGTTCCATTGGTGTTGAATGAAGGTGATAGCGTAGTTCAGTACTATGTGCCCTATTTGTCAGGTATTCAGTTGTATGGTGACTCGACAAAGGCTTCAACAAAAACAAGGTATATATTTGCATGGTTTCTCCTTCCACATTTAGCCTAAATTTAGCTTTTGTTACTCATGGCCCAGTCAAATTGCTGGCGATGCTCTCAATACCCCACTGAAGATGCTTGTTTTGTATTTCTCTGGTTTTCCGTGTACTCCTTGATGCTTATATCAGTTCCACAATTATTATTGCGTATATTTAGGCTTTGTAAGTAATGATTATTTGTTTTTACATGAAGTGCTGGTACACAATAGTTATGACACTAATGCAAAATTGTGTCTAATACTCTCGGTCAGATTATCAGGACTCAGCTAGGGAAAAGCTTTGGATATATTATTTGTGTCTTTCACTTTCCTCATTGTTGTTACTGAAGCATGTTTTGTGAGAAAAACTTAAACCCAATATTGATAAGAGAAATAGTTCTATCTGCATCTTTTCAATAAAAAAGTGGATGGCAAAAAGTTCATTCCGCTTTGCAATGTCATAAAATTACCGAATGAGCTTTTGGGTGGATTTGTGGGTGATTGCTATAATCCAAATTGGTACCCGATTCTGAGATGTGGCTCTTTAACCAAGTCCTTCAGTCTTCTTTTTTAGATGGCCTCTTAACATTGTTGCACATTTCTTTGGACCTGTAAGCTTCTGCTTCTGTAAGAGCTGTCTGATCAGCTACAGCTGCTCCTAAACCTTATTGTTACTATCTAACTTAGTGTTTGTGGATAGGTGCAAAACCTATTGCACTTCACTAATTGAGGAGTCCAAAGAACACGTTCAACTCTCACCTTAGTGTATATAGATGGAAGTAAAACCTTTACCATCTCATTGACATGTGAAACAGTGAAGGAACTTCTGCATTCCTGATTTTAGTTTCTTTCAAGTCAATTATTATTTTTTTAGAAAGAAATTTTTTGTCCCACTCCCGTTATAGTCCTTCGTTGTCCTACAAATAGTGCCCTGAGTAAATTTATCTAGAAGTATGCCTGCATAACGATTTAGGCATGAATGAGTATAAAATTGTTGATTTTACTTGGTGAATTCTTTTTCATAGGTTTTGATCCCTTCTCAACCTAATATTCACCTTCTAAAATGAACTTATTATTACCATACTTGTAGTTCCTTCTTGAACAATATACAACTTCAACATGCTTTTGTTTCTTTTTTGATAAGAAGCAAACTTCTTCTTTTGAAGCTGCTGTTGATGCAAGTCTTATGCACCATCTTGGTACTTTTTATTAATAAAACTTTACATTATGAAAAAAATTCTTATTCTACTCTCTCCGTTTCAATTTGTGTCTTAGTTTGACTGCGCACGAAGTTTAAGAAAAGTAAAAGAATACTTTAAATCTTGTGGTCTTAAACTAAAAATGTGTGTAATGTACCAAAAATGCCATGTGGATTCTTGGAGTTAAAGAGTTATTAAATATAGAAAAAGACGTTCTTTTTGAAACAAACTAAAAAGGAAAGCAAGACATATAAATTGAAACGGAGGGAGTAAATTTTTTTCCTGGATAACCATGGTGTCCAAGCCAACTTGCGCGCACCTTGATTAATTCCACGGAGTACCTGCTACCTCTCACCACCATATGTACTGGGTAATTCTATCTACCAAGGTTTCGACAAATGAGAAAAAATCACCTAGTGTTTTAGTCTCTGCTGGAATTTGAACGTTAGACCTCGTGATTTTCAACGCCACACCCTTGGGTGCTCTTCTTTTAAAATAAACTAGCACTAAGTAAATGCTGGGTAATTACATTGAATAAACTTTTGTACTTACCCAACATTTTGAACTTTCGTACTCGGTTGCTTTTCTTCCCTTTATCTCATCTTATTTCATGCAATTTGTTTGCTCTATCCCATCTAAGTTTTATATGTTAACCAATTCATGGTACTATTAGTGAAATGTGAATTGATTTGCCTAGTGCCTAATGAAATGACGGATCTTCACTTCGACACATCTATTATTTGTTGTCAGTTTTTCTTTTTAATGGTTGTTGTTTTCCTTTTATCTATACTATATTAAAAGCACGAAGGCCCTTAGCTAAATGTCGTTCGTCATTTTTACCCTTTAAAAATTAATTTCACATTGGACAAATATGTAATTTAAGTTACTTTTTTAATATTTAGGACTTTAAAATCAAGTAAAATTTTAATTATTACCTAATACCTAGGAGTTCGAAATCAACTAAACAAGGATAAAATATATTAAGAAAAAAGAAGAGAATATAAAAAGTAAAAGGTAAGTTTATTTTCAAACAAGGACAAAAAATATTTTATAATTTTCGTGTACATTTTTTGTGCCTATATCGTACAAGAAAAATTTTATCGTGCAAGATCAGTTTTGATCCTTTATTTTCCTTTTCATAGAATATTTCTTGGTTTGTTTAAATTATATTTTATTAAATTGTTTCAAAACTATAATTATTCATGTGTTAATGTTCTTAATATTTACTTATTTAGTATTTTAAAATTAATTTTATTATCGAATATGTATTATTTGAACCATGTCATAAGTCTTAATATATAAAATTTAAGATTAATTAAAATTTTAATCATCTTTTACAAATGATTTCCTTAAGCAAATATTTAAATTTTGATATAAATTGCTATTTTTTAATAATTTGTTCTTCTTACGTATAAATATATTTATTAATTGACGCACTATACACGTGCAATGCACGTACACTAAAATTAATTCTTTTAAAATCTATATCTAACTTGTCACAAAATGTCCTCTCCCCCAGTTATTGGTCCATCAAACTATAAAATGATTATGATAAAGATGGATTTGTAATTCAAAGGGCTAGAAGGGACTATCTAGATGTTTACTGTTTTTTCTTTAACTCACTACTAATATCATATATATGCATATCTATATCTATATCTATATCTATATCTATACTATATTAAAAGCACGAAGACCCTTAGCGAAATGTCGTTCATCTTTTTTACCTCTTTAAAAATAGAGTTCGCACTAGACAAAATAGTCATTTAATTAATTTTCTAATATGTAGGATTAATTATTTAATTAGTTCCATAATATTTATGAATAGTCATTTAATTATTTTCCTAAAATATAGTACTTTGAAATCAACTAAAATTTTAGTACTTATTAATTATTTCCTTATTTGAACTAAAATTATTTCCTTTAAATAATATTTGAACCCCTTTCCTTCTATGTATGAACGTAGAACATCATTGTCGCTTTAAATTTGTTTTAAGAAGTCAATTATTATTTAAATTAAGGGTTTACCAAATAACAATGATTTTCTTGCTAAGACACTTTATGATGTATATATTTGAAGAGAAGTTAACGTAAATATAAATATAATAAAGGAACTTAAAAATGTAAATGTTAGTTATAGATACTTTGAAGTGCATTATGACATTTGTAATTCCCTCCATAGTTATTAGATCATCAAGCAAGGTTAATAAACATTTATAAATTATAGAAAAATACTACTGAATATATTTAGCTTATGAACACGGTTTACACTAGTTGAAAGCAATTTAGTTATTATTTTATTTTAGTCAGAGAATTAAGTTAAAGATTAAATTTTCCTAATCTTGTTTAATCCTAATTATGAGTTCAAGTTTATATTCATAATTCTTTTTAAATCTATATTCTATATTCTATATACTTTTATTGACAGATGTAAAATTCACGTGCAACGCACGTACACTAAAGCTAGTTTTGATAAATAAGGTCTTTTGTTAAAAATCATGGCAAGATGGTGTAACTATACAAAAGAAATTCCAACTGTGTTAGGCCTCTTGAAAATCTGTCCAACTTTTTATACAATAAGGAATTTCATTTTTACACCAAAAGTGAGTAGAATAATACGGAGCTTTTTCCCCAGTTTTTATTTTTTATTTTTTATTTTAATAATAGGGAGTTTTTGACTAGAATTTGATTTAGAAATGGGAGTTTAGGATGTGGATATGTCCCTAGTTGCTCATTCAAGCAGTTGAATGAAGAACTGATATCGTATATTCCGAACTACCATAAAGTGAATATTAGAAACGTGTTCAGTAAAAGAAATATTTGCATTATCAGAGTCTATGAAATGGATGTCCTAGTCATTCAGGCAAGTAGCTCATTGCTATTCCATCTATTTTTATTGGTCAGCACTGAACCGGGCTCCTCAGTTGTACTTTGCCATGTTCTCTCTCTCTCTCCCTCCTTAAGCCTGCCTTTCCCTATTCACGATGTGTTTTTTCTGCTTTCCAAAATAGGAGCAGAATATTTCGTCAAAGGCTGTGGAATTTTCAATTTGCCATTCTTTCTTCTGCATGCATCTTTTTGATGTATCATTGATACCATTCTGCTCTTTCCTGAGACATTGTTGATTTCAATGCGCTCCTTAGCTTGTACATGGGTGGACAGGTGGGGTATAGCTTGAAAGTGTGTATTATGAGTGTGTTTATGTTGTAAATGTGCATCATTGTGTCTCTTTACTACCCCCTCATCTTCTCCCTGAATCTTGAATTGAAGTTGTTTAGATTTTGTATGAGTAGCTTTAAGAAACTATGATATTGACTTGCATTTTCTTACACAGTAGGCGACCAGGTGAGGAAAGTGATAGTGACTATTTCCGGGATTCTAGTAGTGATGGAAGCAGTGACTCTGAACATGAGAGACGTTTGAATTATACAAGGGAGCAGCGGATGTATCATAGCCAAACAAGTGAAAGCTCCCTTAGTATTGACCGGTTATCATTAAGAGACAGGAATGCTACCTTCCAAGAAGGATTTTCAAGCGATGAGGGTGAATCTGGGTCTTCTCAGGGTGCCTTGTTGTTTGAGTATCTTGAGCATGGTCAGCCTTATGGTCGTGAACCTTTGGCAGATAAGGTTGGTGTTTCCTCCCTCTTCCTCAAAGTAGTCCTCTTTTTGTGTCTTTCATCTATGGGGAGTAATGTATAAGTTACCCTTCTTGCTTCTTTATCGTATCTCATATTTTCTTTTATGTTTTTTGTTCTGTAGATATCTGATCTTGCTCAACGTTTTCCGGAATTAAAAACACTGAGAAGTATTGATCTCCTTCCTTCCAGTTGGATCTCTGTAGCCTGGTATTTTGTTTTTCTTTGCGCATATCATATGAGTTTATACTTTTTTGTATCTTGAATTGTAATGCTGATGTCTCTCTTGCAGGTATCCAATTTACCGGATACCTACTGGACCAACTTTAAAAGCTTTGGACGCTTGTTTTCTGACCTTTCATTCTCTTCATACACCCATGACAGGTATCTGACAGTTTCTACCCTAGATTGCTTTTGTTTTTCTGTTGGATATTACAACTACTGCTTCTTCTAAACCCATCTATATCTCTGTGTGTATTCTTTTCATAATGTAATGTGGTGTTTTTTGATGTTTGTCTATGTATTTTCATCTGTATTAGTATGTGATATTCATATGTTTCCTTAATCTTGTTGAGAAAAAAAAGAAAAGACATTATTCACTGTCAAACAAAGAATGATTGACTGTATCAACTTCTTAGATTCATCACAATCAATATATTTTACTCATTTGACCCGGTAATAAGGATTAAGAAGCTCCCAAAATAGCTACATAAAAGAAAAACACAATCCATGTGAAAGTTTTGTAGCGAAGTCTCCTCTTCCTTTTTTTAAATTTATTTCGGTCTCGTTGAAATGAAGTGGATTGGAGATTTTCGTTTGTCTCAAAATCTTTTATTAAGAATAAGAATATAATATTCTTTTAAGCACTGTGTTGTGTATCTTGAAGTATATAGTCTGAAAGGAATAGAATGGCAAGAAATTGGAAGTTCCCATTGGTAATTTGGTATCATTAAAAGTGAGGTTAGAACAAGACTGTTTGAATGACTTACGCAACCTGAAATTGATTTCCTCCAAATTGTCAACTTTCTCTTCGGTTGATTTTCGCATGTCGTCCGGGAAAGAACCGGGGCGTTAATATGTTAAAAAAAGTTAGTCATGAAAAAGATGTCCACCTTAATTCATTAACTCTTTTCTAGCATGTTAGAAAGTCAATCTCTTCTTGAATTTAGGTTTTGTTATTCATGTGCATCCTGGTGAACAAATTAGTCATGACTGTAAAAATGTTTACATTGGCATTAAAAATAAAATCTGCTCTCCGTTTATGGTCATGAAAGGGAGAAGAGTTGGGAGGGTGAGAGCACAGGAACTTAAAATATCTCTTGTTTGTTTCCTTTCTTTTCCCCTCCCATGTTTCACTTCTTTTATTCCTTCGTCTGCCTACTTCTTCCTCCTACTTTATGATGTGTGGACAAATACTATGGACCTCGAAATGGTAAACATAACATGAGGTGTGTGTAGGCATTATTCCCTAAAATGGGTAGGTCACTAATAATTTAGGCTGAAATTGTTCTATCTGGTGAAGTATGTATTAACTATTAAGAGTATGTTACATAGCCTATTGTGGGTTACTTTTGGCATTTAACTAAATTTGTTATGTTGCGAGTGAGTTGTTGAAATTGCACATGGACTTTGTGCAGGAAGTCAAAGTGCTCATCCTGCGGCGGTAACATGTCCGAGTGATACGGATCCGGTCCCGAAGATTCCATTGCCTGCTTTTGGCCTTGCTTCATACAAGTTTAAAGCCTCACTTTGGACCCCAAATGGAGGATCTGGAAGACAGTTAATGAGCTTACTCTTGCAGGCTGCTGAAAACTGGCTAACGCTGCTTCAGGTCAATCACCCAGATTTCAGTTTCTTCTGCCAAAGGTGAAAACTAGAGTGTCTCCTCAGCCTGTGTGTAAGCAAAGCCCAGAGAACCAATCTGTGCAGCTGTTGATTTTGTGAGGACTCACTCTAATCTTAAGTTATGATCCTGGTATCTATATTATGAGGCCAAGAGAAATATAAAAAAAAGAAAAAAAAAAGAAAAGAAGAAAGAAAAGAAATAGTAAATGGATAAGCAGCCCCCAGGCAAGGGCTGAATACTGATTGGAGAGGAGCGGAAAATAGTAAAGAAACAAACTGAGCTAAAGTTTGAGAGAAGTTATGAACAAAAGATCGGTAACAGATGAGAAGATGAGTAAAAATGCCTATGCAGAGGTCAAAAGACTGTGAAAGAAAAACAAGAATATTAAGCTGGCACTAAAGTGCTCCTCGTTTTCACCTTATAGTAAGCAGGCTGTTTTTTACTGTCCCGAATTTGTAGGTGTGTTATTTATATTAGCATCTAGCAGATTTTGATAGAGCTACTATGGTGGTGAATGTAGCTTCCCCATGACATGTACATTATCTTTTTAATGACTTTATTTGGTAGTAATAATAGACTAATAGTTAATAGACTATTTAGGTATAAGTCTCTCCTATGCTTATTCTTTTTCAGTTTTCTGGGCAGTTCCGTCTCTTATTACCTGTTTGATTTTCTTTCTGGTATGTTCTTGGAGCTAAAACTAAGCTATTGATTGTTGGGATGTCTTCTTGGTGCTGGTTAAGAGTCGAAGGCGTTTTTCTCCAGTATCAGTTTGAAATTAAATACCAGCTTTTTTGGAATAATTAAGTTATTCGCCAGTGTTTGCACTGTTGATGAAGCGATTGAAATATAAATCAAGGGCAGCCTGATGCACAAAGTATCCCTCATTTCGCAGGGTTTGGGGAAGGGTCACACCCTTTGGGGTGTGATGTTGACAACCTCGGTCATACGGAGACAATTTTACCGTTGCTTTAAGGCTCCCTCATTTCGCAGGGTCTGGGGAAGGGTCACACCCCTTGGGGTGTGATGTTGACAACCTCGGTCATACGGAAATAATTTTACCGTTGCTTTAAGGCTCCTTATAGATCGATGTGTCACATGGAAGACAATATGGTACTATTAGGTACTACTTGGTAGCCTTTCAAGTTTATGCGTTTCTCTTGGTATGTATGCTGTTTTTCTGTACTCTTAGCATCTAGGAAGTAACTTAAGGTGGGACTTGGGAGACTACGTAGGGGGGTTAGGTATGTATATTGCTAATTCTTTTTATTGTGACGAGTAGAGCCAGAAGAGTAAATCTTGTGTCATTTCAATCATTGCTGAGTATCTCTTGTTAGATATCATTAGCTTCGGATCCTTTTGATAGGAGGGTACTCCGAGAAATATGTCATAGTCTTTAACATTGGAAATTGATTTTGGCACCACTTAAGTGGTTTGGTGAGATGGTTGGAGCCATACAATGACTAACTTTTTGATAGGTAGCGCTTTACTAAAGTGTGTTTATGTGGGGCGAATAGGTTCTGAAAGATGGTTGGAGCCATATAATGAATAACTTTTTGTAGGGAGCGCAAATCAGTTCTGAATTATGGAACTATCATAATGAGGTGTTATTAACACTAGTTAAATTTTCTGTGTTCTATGTACTCGAGTTGTTTCTCTTCATTGTGACTTTATTAAAAGTAAATTTACTGATTTTATTTTGAAAGAGGACCAAATGAAGAGCATTTGTAGGGATTGTTTGCACAATATTGCCCCTTTTTAGGGTACTCAGTTAAATTCTGTCTTCTGTTAACTCAGTGGGTGAATTTCGCCTTTAAAAGTAGGGATATGTGATTTTTCTATAGACAAATTTAACCTACCGGACTAACTGGGTAAAAAGTAGAAAGTGACCTAAAAATGCAATTTCGATATCTGGTGTGCGAAAATAGCCTCCTCTTATTGAAAAGAAGGGTCCGAAAAAGACAGAAATGGCCATCCTTCTAACCACCTCAATGGCTCGTTTGGTACGAAGGATAAGGGATAATTAATCTCGAGATTAAATTTGAGCCAGTTTATTTCATGTTTGATTGGAATAAAATCGTGGTATAACTAATCTCGGTATTGTAGTATTTTTTTTCTTTCTATAGGAGTGTGATAATTAATCATATGATAGCTAATCTCGAGATAATTAATCATGAGATAACTTATTTACAGCCAAACGACCCTAAGGAAATAGAGCATTGTGAAAGAATTCCGTTAGTGTTCATACTTCATAGTCACAAATTGTTCAAAGCCTCTTCTTCATTTTTCAAACAATTAAACTCTTTAACAACCCTTTCAATTATACACTTAAAACCAGCACAGACAAAACTAGATTTCACGTCATAAAATCAAAACATGGAGAAAAATATTGCAGCAAAAAAAGAAGAAGGCATATTTATATTGTAGATGAGATAATTTATCAAGCTTCCTTCTCCTTGAGCTTCTTTTCTAAAGCCTCAGAACAAAGCTGTCCCATTTTATGGTAAAAACCAACCATATCAGAGAGTTGCTCAATTGACATTTTCCCAAGAATAGCTCTAGCCATTTTCTCCCTTTCTTCATTCATCTTCAATCTATTCATATATGCTGATGCATTTCTCACTGTTGCCCCCATTTGCTTCAACCTATTCTCTTGCTGTAGACTTAGTGCTGTGTTTGCCTACATGCCATGCGCAAAAACGCTCAGAATTTAAAGTCAGTGAGTTTCAGATTTTTCATAATAAATATGATTTTATTATGTGTATACATTCACTATATCGTCTTTGATTTCGTAAAATAAGTGTAACTTCTACATATTGATATTAATATTTTTTTTTACACTATCGGGTTACCTTAAAAGATAGCTCAGGTAATCAACATAAAAAAGTGAAATTTGTAATATAAAAAATAATACAGGTTACCTGTTACAACAAGTTAAAATATAATGATAATAAAAAAATAGTTAAACTTGTGTGTGTGTTATTCTTGTCATATATGATAAACATGTTAATAATCTATTTAAGATTTACTTAATCAGTTGAAGAATGAGTTATACAGAAAATGTGAATTGTATTTACCTCAAGAAATTCAGCTCCTGGTTCAAGCTCAGACTCTTTTTCAGAAATTCTACCACGTCCTGTGCTATACATGTTCTTTGCTATTGAAAAACTTCGAACAATACTCTTTCTCTTGCTCTCCAATTCATGATTAAACTTTACACCTTTTGGTACATTTCCAGAACCATTAAGCTTCTTCTCATATGCTATTACCGCTTTGACAAATTCCTACACACCAATTAAATATATTTAAGACGTCAAGTTCTGTCACGGTGTGGTAAAATGGTAAAGGTTTCTTTAATCAGGAGTTTCAGGTTCTGAGTCTTAGAAATAGAGTTCTCAGGACCGCTAAAATTCCCCATAGTTGACATTTTAGGGTGCGAATCTAACTCGGTCGGGCCAGTGCTTTCTGAACACCAAAAGTGCATGAAGTATCCCGTGTTTATGCAGGGTACGGGGAAGGGCCGCACCATAGATCGGATATGATGTAGGCAACCTACCTTGATGCAAGCACCTGTGGCTAATTCCACGGCTCGAATCCGTAACCTATAGGTCACACGGAGACACGTTTGTCATTGCTCCAAGACTCCCCTTCAGTGGGTTCCAAATACCAACAAACCCAGTATATTATCAAAAGGGTCTAGGGAGGGTAGTGTTTTCACACACCTTACCCCTAGCTACCTAGTGAGAGTAGAAAAGTTATTTCCAATAAACCCTCGGCTCGTGGGAGGGGGAGAGGGAGGGGAAAGAATAAGTAGTACTAAATAATAACATCATGAAATACGGCAACAGAAGCGAACTAGATCACATGACGTAATAAAGATTTAATTAAGATGCAGGAACATGAGTGCTATTAAAACTACCAGTAAGAAAAGGAGAAGTTTTCAATCACCTACTAACATTCTATCATAATCTTCGACCTCCACACTTTCCTATCAAGGGTCATGTCCTTAGTAAGTTGAAGTCGCGTCATATCCGGTCTAATTATTTGGTTCCAAACACCAAATAATTAAAAAGATGTCTGTCCAGAATTGACGTAGTTTCAGTTCCGTAAATTTTTATGGTTAAGTTGATTTGAACTATACATTTGATTTTGTTGTATGTATCCTAAAACCTTGTCTGTATTTCTCTAAATAATTTACACACAATATTGTTTCAAGCTCAGCGCCTTTTCACGTTTCAAAGCTTACTTTTATATACTATCTTTTCATTAATTTCTCTAACACTTTATGAGTGATATCAGTCACATGATTTGATCCAAGTCTTGTTAAAATAATAGCTGTATTCTTGCAAAAGGACACAGACAACTGGCCAATATAATATACTACTATCAAACTTTAGAAAGTCTACTTTTAATATTTGTTTTATTTGATGACCATTTGGTATGTCGGTTATCTACTGTCCATTAAAGAAGAGTACACTTCTTATTAGGAGTTTCTTCATTTTGAGAATCGAACATGATACCTCTATACTTATTCAAAAGGACATACATACACAAAAAAGGACGGCCTGATGCACAAGTATTCCACGTTCACGCAAAGTCCGGGAAATGGTCGCACTAGATGTAACAACATACTTTAATACAAGTATTAGTGACTGATTCTACGGCTTGAACCCGTGACCTATAGGTCACACAGAGACAACTTTACCGTTTGCTCCAAGGTTCCCGTCTTAAACGACAAACATACACAAGTAGCCAATATACATCAAACTTTAGAAAATCTATTTTTTAAACACTTAATATGACATTAGCAAGTTGGAGTTTAATTAATTACCTGGTAAGCCATTGCACATCCTGGATAATCAAAATCACCAGAATCTTGACCTCTCATACGTTCAGGATGAAACTGTAATCCCATAATAAATTTTCCTTCTTCAGGATTATAAGCATCTGGATCATAAAACCCTTCAATTAATCCATCATTAGCAAAAGCCATTGGCACAAATCTTTGTGCTAATTTTTTAACTCCTTGATGATGATAACTATTTACCCAAATCTCCATTTTCTCATCTTCTAATGAATCTTTAAACCATTTATCCAATGGTGTATTTTCCACTATTTTCACTACATGTCTATGTCCATCATAATTTTCATAATTCATATGAACAACCTTTTCTTTTTCTTTTTCATAGTTTTTGGACAATTCTTTCTCTATATCTTGATAAAGTGTACCACCACAAGCAACATTAAGAACTTGTGATCCTCTACAAATTCCCAAATAAGGTATGTTCCTCTCAAGACATAGTTTTGCTAGTCCGAGTTCAATTGAATCCTTTTCGCGATCAATTGTTGTGTCACTGGCATGTAATTTCTTGATTTCTTCTAATTCTTCTTGTGAAAAACCAGATAATTCAGCATCATAAAGTGATGGATCAATGTCTTCTCCTTCACATAGAAGAACTCCATGAATTGGTTGAAAGCTTTCTAATAGCATGTGTACACCACTAACTCGCGGTACTATAACAGGCGCTGCTCCATAACTCACAATGAGATCTAAATGATATTCACCTGCAGATATTGAAGATATAATTAAGTAAATAAGAGCG